ATGGTTTTGAAATTTAGTTCTGTTCAGTCTTAATAAAGTTAAATTAGAACATCCTCCATTGGTAGAAAGGTATTCCTGCAAATAGTTGCGCCTGATGTTACTCATATTCTAATGTCTGATTTAAAATAAAAGGTCATTTGCAGACTGCATCCCCCACCAAGAATTTTCACCAGGTGCCACTGGTTATGAATACGTTTGTTTGGGAGTATTTCTGCCCCCTAGTGGCCAAAACCTACTTAGTGCAGCTTTAATGTTGTTTTTAGTAAATGTAAAAAAAAAAAATAATTGGACCATTCATGCTAACGAACTAAAGGATATTAGATGGCATTTGATGAACTAATGTTAGCACTTTATCGGCAGCAACTGGGTCTTTCAAACAAGATGTTCACTGTTACTGTGTGTTTTTAAATAATGTTGGTTAACAACATGCGTACTTTGCATAAGCAGTTTTTTAGTGTATTTCCAAAAAAATGGCGGGAAAAAATACAGACATGCTCTTTATCTTTAAAAAGTGCATTTTAAGACAATAATGGATACAACACTTGTTTGTTTCTATTAATCCCACATTAATTTAGGATTATAATTAGTTCTGATGAGACTAAAGTTTTGTTCGAGGTCGTAGTTTAGGACAAGTCAGGCTTTGCACGCGTTCCCCTCAGGCTTGAAATGGCCGAGGTTGAGGCCAAGAGGACGAGTACAGTCAGCGGAGCCGCAGTTTGGGATCTAATCTTGTTTGTTTTGCTTTGTTGTGCGATTTAAACAGAGGCAGCAAGTGTAAAATTTGTGCACATTGGCGCCTGCACATCGCTGTCAACTCGAGTCGGGTCACAGCTTTGGTGTTGACTCGATGATACAAGTGGAAGAAGGAGGCAGGCAGGGAGGCGAGGAGTGAATAATGAGAGATGCCTATACTCAGCATATTCTCTCCTCACCAGAAAAAAAAAAAAAACCCCAACAACCCAGGAGCGTCAACGTGGTCAGCGATATGGAAATTGCTCCATCCCTGTTCCCGGGGCGCCTGACAAGAACGTTCTTATGTTCTCCCCGGACAGACCACATGTATTCTTTCTGATATGTGAGCCTGACGGAGGAAGCCGGGCCGGCCTGGCCTGGCTGGCCTCCTCCTTAAAGAACCCGGGGGCCTGGCTGAGAGTGCTGAAGCCATAAAGTCTATTTATGGCATGTACAGTGACACTTTTATTCTGCTATCTCTCACCTTACCTCCTCTTGCTACATCTCTCTCTCCGTCCTCACCACACACACACACAGCGATACAGTCGCTGTCACGCCGGCAACGTATTTATCATCCGCTCAATATGGCGGCGGCGGTGTGGCCCTGCTCCTCTGGGCTTTGATTAATATGCACTCTGGCTCCGTTTGCTTAGTCGACATTCTTTCCGTCGGTGTCTCCGCGCTGTCCGTCTGTCTCCTCCCGTCTCCTTCCTCTCCCGCTGCATGCTCATTTCATCTGCCATCTTGCCTGTCATCTCCTTTCAGCGTCTCCTCCTCCTCCTCCTCCTCGTCTCCCCGTGACTCACAGGTTTCTCCCGATTCATCTTAGTGCCTCGCTAAACTTCACTTTTTGTCCGGATCTTTCTCCATCATTTCACTTCTTTTCAGCCTGTCAGCACACAGGTGGAGAGCTCATTCCTTATCTCCTCTCCTTTTTGTTTCCTCCTCTCCTCCAATCCTCTCCAATTCAATTTTCCCAAACACTCTTTTGAGCAGGTTATTCAATCAGCCGTCGTAGGTATTAGGATAAGTCCTGTTGATCTGGTTTGGGATTTGCCTTGTTTCCTCCCCAGTCTTACCTCACCACACTATTAGGTGACTCTGCAGTGGGTTGACAGCTGCTGTGTGGCTGGATTATTACACCCAGATCAAATCTCTACCTCTGTTTTGTTTTTTTTAAAATACCTTTGTGACACCGGCGCGTACTCTCTGCATGCTGTGTTAATGCAGTCGCACGAAAACCAGACCAACAGGTTGTGTTTCAATGATCATAATTCAGAATATTAACAAGGATTTAACTAGATGTAATGAGGCATGGGTATTAAACAGATTTAGCTCCATGGCAACAGAGCAAACTCCATCCACTGTTTAAAAAAAACATGCAGATAAAGGCTGTGAAAAAATATTAGAGGAGTTAAGATGCATGACCTGAAAGGAAAATGTTGTCATTTTACAGCCTGGCTTTTTGTTTTTCCCTGCAGATTATTCAGCAAAAACAGTGCTGCTTACTCTTGCTTTCAATGATATCACATTGTCTTCATTTAATCTTGGAGATGGCTTCGGTAAAATTCACCAGAACTATATGTATGACAGCAAAGCAAACCTTCAAAGAACCTTCATTTTAAAGCTCTAAAAAAGTTAAGAGGGCCTTGAGTTTAGAGCTAATCATAGTAGATCAGATGTATGTTCGTTCCTTATCATTTTCTTTATTCGTTTTTTTGCAGATGACACAGGCTTATACATTGGAGGCAGCGTCCCGGCTCGACAGCCTCACAGCTGAAATAAGCAGGTTTTAAACAAGCATAATGATATAAATATATATTAATACGAAACTCATTGCACATTCACAATCAACAATCTATTTTTGTGCTCCACTCTGCCTCAGAAAAAGCTGTAATTATTTTCTTTCTTTCCTCTGCCAGCAGAAAATGTTCAAAAAATGCGAGCTAACAGTAATGGGCAATTAATATAAAAATGACAACCTCTCGCTATTGAGGCTTTCAAGTACTTAACTCTGTAATTTGCTTTACTTTTGTGCTGTGTTTTGGTTCCATTGAGAGTAGACAATTTGAGTTATCAGTATTTTATTATCACTGTGCTCTTGAAATAATTTCTCAGGACAAATACTCGCACAAAAAAAGGCCTTTATGAAAGCCTCACATCGCTCGTCTTTGGCTGCAGCCTCTTCCTGCTGCAATCACGCTGCAGTCATTTTAAGTTAATGCGGTATATTTTTTACTATGGAGTTATTATGAATACCAGTAATAAGCTTTAACAACCTTTTCAGCACACAGCTGCTCTCAGATACTGGAGTGAAGTTAAAATAAAAAAGCGGAAGTACAGTTGGAAACAAAAATGTGATTTGGGCTGACAGAGAAGCGGCTTTACTGGAGAATGATCTGTATCTGACGGCTTTCCTTATCGTCCAGGTTTGTTTGACCAGCGACCAGCAGGCGCTTTTAGCTGAGATACTGAGCCTTGTCAACAAACCGCTCAGTCACCTGTCCTTATCCAGGAGAGTCACATTGAGATCGAAAACCATTTGAGCTGCAGCCAAGAGATTTGAGCTTATGCAATTCAGCTAATGGCAACACATTAACCCCATCGTGCCACGACTGTGTCCCTCTGTGCTTTTAGAGCCACTTGTGACTTGCTAAATATGACAAATACACAAAATGCGACTCAGGGCCGCACAGTGTAGTTAACATTCATTAGTTTTGCTTAAAAAAAAATTGCAATCTATCTGTTTGTATGATTGAGACACAGATGAAAATGACAAACGCAGAATAGTTGGTAGAAAATTGGAATAAATTGCAGCAAAAGCATAAATATACAGCAGTGTTTGCACCACAAATAGTAGTTTGTTTTATTACTTACACCTGTCTTCTTCTTTTTACAAAAATTCTGTATTCTTTGAGCAAGCAACACATTTCAGATTCAAGATTCACTCATTCACCTTTTCCAGAGCTTTCAGTTGCATCACACCAGGCAGGTTTCCACTGCAGGAACTCGAGGCAGATGCAAAGTTTGAAGGAGCTGCCCTGTTATCGGGCCTTTCAGGAATTCTGTTTCCATTGCGGTGGAGGATCCGACAGCTTTGACCATGATGTTAGATAGATGTAGAACAATGGAGGTTTTATTATGTTGACTTATGATGTTTGAAGGGAGGAGACTGTTACTCAATGAGAACATCAATAGGGCAGAGAAATGGGTGTCCTTCCCAAGTTTAACCGGTCACCATATGTCTTCTCTGAGACCAGCAGATCTGACCTGCACAGCAGTTTTTCAAGGCTGCTCAGAGGTACTTTTATCTCTTCTGAAAGTGGCTCCTAATACATTTCGACAGGGGGTTTTGCACAAAAGTTGATGCCACCCTAGATAAAATCTCCAGCAGCGGATGGAGATTCACTCGTTTTTATGGATCTGTTGACGTGCACTAAACTAAACACGTCACTAACTAAACATGATTTCATACTCTTTAAGGTCTTTTCTAGCAGTTTTCTTAAATTTGGCAGTGGTGCTTTGACAAAGCCATCCTAGCTCAAGGGCCACTTGGTATTTTCTCCAGGGCTTTCAACAGTATGGCCTTCACCAGTGAATGGAGGTTGCTCAGAGGCCAACTGTATGACTAATGAGCGCACTCTAGAACATGTGATATAAAAGCTCTGGGTAGAGCTAGTACGTAGATGGGTTTTTTTTTCAATTTCCAAGGTCAAGAATGAACCTTCAGGTTTATTCCTCATGAGAAAAAACAAAGCATTGTGATAAATGTTCAGCTTAAGGGCCAATGAAGGCCTATTGTGTGGTGGTAACGTCTTTAATACATCATGATTCTTTAAGGAAACATCCTCCCTGTCTGTATACCATTATATCTGTTTCCCTTCCACTCTTCAAGCTTTTGAGCAAGATTTCTGAAACACAATAAGCCGAGAGGAGAATCACCTCCCTGCATAGTGAGATGCTGTGAACTGACTCAATTTGTCACAACGTGGTGTGAAAAGAGTGACAAACACTTAAGAGGCTAATGGAGTCTCCCAAACGGCAGCGAGCGAGCGAGCGAGCTCCCGATGCCGAGGTATTACCTTTTGGTGATAGACATCACGCTGCAGTTGGGTCGTTTGCAAGCTGCTTTCATGATTCGTAAATTTCGAACTGCTGCCTTTAATTGTCATCTGCAGCTGCCACTGTGTGAAGCCTCGCTTATTTAAAATGAGCTCCGTACAAACATGTCTCTAAGGAGAAATGTCTTCCTCTCTCTCCCCTACCAGAGGCCCAGTCAAGCGCCATGATGTTCGACTGCATCTACCTGGAGCTCTCGGCCTCCTTGGACCACGGCACCAACGAGCTATTGGAGGCAGCGGTTCGGACTGCAAGGGGAGACTGCGTGGGCCCCGGGTGGACGGACGGGGACCCCGGATCGGGCCGCAGGGAGAGCCTGACGAGCCGGGCCAAGCGCTTCCTGGCTGGGCTGGTACCGCGCTCGTACGGCCGAGACCGGGACCGGGACCGGGGGCGCTACAGGGAGATGAGCCGCCACCGGGGCAGCAAGATCCTCCGGCAGAAGTCGCGCTCCTGTCACGACCTCAGTGCACTGTGACCCACTCGCACAAGCGTACAAAACAGGCAACGAAACACACTCCATATTAACACAAACACACCAAAATGGAAGATGCGGGGGAAGGGGAGAGGTGGAGGTGAAGATGAAGGAAGGACTGAAACACGATGGGGGAGACTCATCCGTTTTGGGGGGGAAAATTAGAGGGGTGGATGTGGAGAGAGATGCAAGCTGTGGCGGAGAAAGGTCACGGCAGGAGGAAAAAAGATGAATAGACAGACCAGACATCAGCCTGGATGGCGGCATTGAATCTGTCAGAGAAACCAATTTTCAGAGACGGGAGGGGAAAAAAGCCGGAGAAGGAGGTGATTCGCTGCTCCGGCTCGGGTGAATCAGCGAGCAGTCATTACCTGATGAGAGCAGGAGGGAGAAAATTAGCAAAGAGTCTCATCGGGATGCTGATTTGATGCTTGACGTGGCTGAACGAGGAGGAGGCTGGGGGGAGGGGGTCACGAATAAACACACACCCAAAGTAGCACGCACTGATAACGTAGAGAATGATAGCAATCCAACGTATACCTGTAATAGACCCTGTTTTATAGCATGCAGAGTAGACGACCTAAGACGTGACCCTGTAGGTTTTTACAGCTACATGATCCTGGATTTCCTGTACCTCAGTGGCCAATAGCTGATGCACAATCTAGCTAGTGTCTCTAGCATCTCAAAGGCAAGACTATTTATGAAAACCGCTCCCTTCTCTGCGTGTCTTCGGCCATAGTTTACACACCGCATCCACCGTTTGTGTCCTGATTTATTTATTTTTTTTCGACCAATGGCGTCTGCTCATCTGTGACTTTTATACAAACATCAGCACCCAAGCCATATTTCCGCTGAACGCACCTCGAGCGATCGGCGCAGAGAACCCTTTACCGTGAAGACGAGGATGAAAAAAGGTGAAAGACGTTTGCAGGGACGACCACGACGAACTCATCTTCAGTCGAAGCTGAGTCACCCGACAGTGGGACGCTCTTGAAGCAAAGGACAGACAAGAGAAAACCTAATCTACCTGTGGCTGTTTGATGTTTTCTTATTCCCCCCCTCCTCCTCCTTCTTCTTCTCTTTACCCACTGTGGCATTACTATGTGTGTTTCGACTGAATTCTGTGGGGGCTGGCCACACAGGTGACCCAAAAGAGAACGTTCTGGAAACGTTGTTCGGAAATCTCGTCAAGCGTGCCGGCGTCACTGACACATCCTCACTTGTTTGTCACCGTCTACTGAGCACTCTTGTCTTTACCACTGAGAATAAATACGTTTTTTGTTTGGCATCCTTCATGAGTGTTTGGTCGTTTTTGTTTTTCTGACAGCATTATAAGAATGAACGTCTCATTAGAGGAGTTAGTTGGGGTGAAGGATAGCGTGACAGGACGTCAGATGACTCACAGGTCCTCGGGACAGACTGCGAGACTCTCAGGACACTGGTCCCATTAGGGCTAAGCAGCAAAAATGTGCAACGTCAACAGTCTGCAGCTGTAACAGAATCTCAGGTTGAAAATAGATTGTATTGGGGGGCAGCTACGAACAAAGATCAAGCAATGTGAGCTGTCCTGACTTCAAGATGTATAGGACACCTGCGATTTCGGAGACGGGGTGAATTGCCTGCTTAATGATGAGAGTGCAAAAATGAGAATGCGTCTTCAGCAGATTCTTTGTTTTAGGCTTTAATAGCAGCGGCTCCAAGAATGATCCTAACCTGTACCTTCACACTGTGCTAACTGATTTTAAACTGGATGTTGTTTAGTGTTGAAGTTGGAATAATTTGCGTGTGGATATTGCTACAACAACTTCACGTACACTTGAATTGTCAATGTTAAGTCCGTTTGATCAAGTTTGCATGTTGGAGAACCACTGATGCACACTTCTAGCTTTCTGTATATCCAACGTATTTATATTAGACCTTTTATCTGTTAATGCTGTTCATCTATTTTAGTCATTTAGCTCTTATTTGTAGCTAAACCTTTTATTCAGTTCAATTCAGATTTATCTATTTTAATCATTTTCCAATATAAGTCACCTCTTGGTTGTTTATCCATAGCTAATGATTTTAGCCATTGATCCAGTGTTTTTACATAGCTAACTATTTTAACCACTACTTTTCGCTAACTGTTTCACCATGTTAAATACTTCCAGCTAACGAGTTGAATTTTAACCACTTAGCCATTGTTTTAGCTAGTTAGCTTTACTTTCAGCTAATTATTTTGACTGTTTAGTTCAGTTCAATTTTAGTACCAGTTCCAAACATAAACCATGTCGGGGTTCTTAACATAGGGTTGTTTATCCATAGATTATGATGTTAGACATTTTCCCGCTGTTTTTAGTGAACTATTTTAACCATGTCCATTACTTTGAGCTATTTTAACACCTTTGGTCATCGCAATTGTAATTTTAACCATTCAACCAAGTGAAATATTTTAAGTGTTTATCCATAGCTAATGAATTTAGCCATTTATCCAGTGCTTTTACAAAGCTAGCTATTTTAACCACTACTTTTAGCTAGCTGTTTCACTATTTTAAATACTTCCAGCTAACAAGTTGAATTTTAACCACTTAGCCATTGTTTTAGCTAGTTAGCTTTGCTTTCAGCTAATTATTTTGACTGTTTAGTTCAGTTCAATTGTAGTACCAGTTCCAAACATAAGCCATGTCGGGGTTCTTAACATCAATCAATCAATCAATCAATCAATCTTTATTTCTAAAGCGCTTTTCATACTATAATGCAAACATAGGATTGTTTATCCATAGATTATGATGCTAGACATTTTCCCGTTGTTTTTAGTGACCTATTTTAACCATAGTCATTACTTTGAGCTATTTTAACCCCTTTGGTCGTCACAATTTTAATTTTAAGCATTCAACCAAGTGAAGTATTTTAAATGTTTATCCATAGCTAACGATTTTACCCATTTATCCATTACTTTTACCCGACAAACTCCATGTCCTTTTCTAGCTAGTTAACTGCTTATCTGTAGTGAGCTCTACAAATGCTCTTAGCTTACTAAGCTTAGTAACTATTTCCACACTTTCAACATTGACTTTTAGCTAACGATTTCAATTTGCCAAAATTTTAGCTAGATATTCTTTTACCTTTAGCTAATTATTTTAACTGCTTAACGACAGCTAATGATTGCAAACAATTAGGAATTGGTTTCAGCCAACTATTTTCAACCAGTCCATCAATTTTTGCTTATTATTTTAACACTTTTACTCGTCACGGCTAACAATTTCAATTTCAACCATTTAGCCAAGACTGTAGCTAGCTATTAAGCTAATTATCTTAACTGCTTATCCATAGCTAACAATTTTAGCCATTTGACCATTGCTTTTAGCAAATAAATGTAGCTGCTTATTTATGATTTTAAACTAGCAATCTCTTCTTTTTCCAGTTTATTAATTGTTAAGGAGCTCTCCAAATGATCCATTCCTTGAGGTTAATTATTTCAAATATGTCGGTTACTATTAGCTGCTTGAGTGCCCTCAATAGTTGAAGAGTTCATTTGCAAAACCAGATAACTCCATCTACAAACCTTCAGAAAACCCACTTTTCCATCGTCTACCTGAGACATTATCGATCAAACTTAAGTTATCTCTATTTTTGTCATTTCTACTGAGTCAAATCCACTCAACTTCAGCTTAATTAATATTATGTCAAGCAAACAACTGAAAAAAAAAAAGGTTCTCAGAAAATCTACAAAAATTGTTTTGCACATGAACTCCTCATTTACTTTTGTCTTATCACTTCTATTTTCACCATTTAGCCGCTATTTTAGCTTGATATCTTCACTTGTGGCTACTTATCAAGTGTTTTTCCACAGCTCATTTTTAAGCCTTTTAAATTTCTAGTTATTTAAACTTTTTCAATTCGTTTGTAACTGCTAATTTATCAACCGTGTTCACATTCTAACTAATTTTCACACTCAGTCACATCGGTGTGTGGGTCTAATGCAGTGACAACGCGCTGTAATGTTTGATTGCTCCGGTAATCTCATCACGCAGAAAGTTTAGGATTTGTTTGGCCAGCTTTTGAGATCTATAATTTCCGCTTTCAATCCAGCACAATGGAGGTAATTAGAATTTCAGCAGCAATCACGGCAGTAATAAATAAATAGCATTTAAGTGATTTCAGGGAGCAGTGCATATTGATGGAAAAGCTGAACTGAATAGATCATTTTCTATGCAGACATTGTGACTTCTCAAACAAGCGTATCTCAAACTGTTATTAATTGCTGCATTGCGCTGCAGTGACTGCCGGAGCTGAGGCACTGCCTGTGCTTTTTCTAGTACGACGAGTCCAAAGGTGTGCAGAACGACGTGTGAGTGCTCTGACGCTGGCGAGGAACATTTATTCTGAGCGAAACACGGCATGCAGCGTACAAGATGGACTTGGATGGAGCCGCAGAGGACGCTCTCTCGGGTGTAAATAAAGTAAAATCAACTGCTTTTGATGGAAGTTTAGCCAATTTTAGAATCAAATTGTAAAGTCGAGTGGGAGAACCCTTTTACCCTTCATACCTGTTTGATAAAATTTTCCATAATCTTCCTGTTGTGATCTTTGGGGTCTTACTTTTTCCCTCCAAAGAAAATCACAGCTAAAAATAACAACATGTTGACTGAAATAGCCAAAAATAAGATTGCTTATTTATGGATCATAAAAACAAAAAAAACCTCTGAATTAAAAATCAAACTTAATCCTCTTTGGCACAGTTGACATCATCATTTAGCCCGCAATATGCTCGCGCCGACCAACCCAGCTGGTGACGTCCCGGTTGGCCAGAAAAACTTGACGAGCGCGACACCAATTAAAGCATTTTATGTCACAGGTTGGCGAAATAACAAATCTCATCGATAACGATGAAGACATCTCTGTCAGCTTCCCCTCTCGTTCTGCCCCACCCTATATAGGTGTAGGGAAGCGCCTCGGGGCTAAAACGCAAGAGCACCCTACAACCAATCGCATCGCATCACATCAGATAGCTGCAGTTTTCA